AATCTCCAGCTCCTCGGCCAGCCTGCACGAATAGTATCAATCTCTATATATTGAATGTAAACAGCTTGCGTCAATTACCTTCTCAGCGTGTCAAGCTTCACCTGCAGCCTGTCGATGTATTCGTGTAGGTTGACTATGAGCTGCCTCTCCATCACCAGCAGATGCAGCTTGTCAGCCATGCAGGTGACGTAGCTCCTGGCGCTCTCACTTGTCTCACCTTGCACCACAGCCGCAGCTAAGCCCAGAATATTTAGAACCAAGCGCAGTACTGTGAGCTGCATCATCTTTGACGTGGCTCTGATGGGCGGATCGCTCGAGCTGGCGTTAAATGTGGATTTGTGTTGATTGCAACGAGACGAAATGGTTTGCCATGCTTTAAGCTAGATTAAAAATTTGACAACAGGCAGAACTTGATTTGGAATACAAGAAACGACAGTCACAAGCCGCAAGAGTTCAAAGAGCCCACCGATGTCAACAATTCATGCCAGCTTTAAATTCGAAACCTTAAAATATTCCAACATATTTTGATGACCCTCAAGATCTTTGCTTAAGGTTTCTCTCTGTGATCTGTTGCAGAACGTACTTTTTGGTGGTCACATACAAGGATTAATTAATCAATATCTTGGCTAATTATGGGGATTAAACGTTTTTATTATCGATAGCTGAACACTCGTGAAAATTTGATGTCCAGTGAACTGGGAAGAGTTCACTCATTGGCCATCAGAAACTTGATGAGGACTGGTAAGAGAACAGGAGCTATTAAAAGGCAACTAGTTGGCGTAGAAATGCTGTCCGAATGCTTACCCAGTCGATTGCCCACCACATTGGGGCACACGGTGTACTGGAAGTCCTCTTCGTTCTGGAGAATCAGTGCATCGCCTCGACGTGGAAAGACGGCCATTTCTTGGTGGGCTATGGTAATCGCACCACCCAGCGCCATGTCGTTCAGCTGGCGAATAGAGTAAGCAGTTAAGAGGAGCTATCCAGTCGACGAGCTGGCTGGCATTTTACTTACAAACAGGATGGCTGTAGCCTCAATAGACTCCACATTGACATCGATGGACTGCAGTCGAAAGAAAGGCAAATGTATTTATGAATGCACAGAATTGAATGGACTTCACCTGGTGTAGGTCCTGTAGCTGGAACGGTTCCCGCGGACCATACTCAAAGAGAAACATTTGGTTCCTGTGCAAATTGAGACCAGTCATGTCAACAATCCGATCCGTGAGCAAGGTCGTGATCACACTATATCTATCGGAAATGGTGCAGCCCTTGACGCCAGCGATTGTCCGCAGCCGAGCACTCGGGGGACAATGCTCGAAGGCATCCTTCATGTGACCTATCTCGCGCTCATATATGCCATTCTTGTAGATGATCACGTACGGCTCGTCCCACGCCTCCTCCAGACGCAGTGGAGCTAGTTGCAGAAAGGGCGTCAAGGCGTCATTCAACTCACAGACCAAATACGAGTTCTGCTTGTTGTTGCCCCTGCATTGCTTCTGCAGCTCGCTGGGCGGCGCCGCAGACGCTGGCAATGGATGCACTGGCTCCTGCTGCTCCAGCTGGTATAGCTGGCTCAGCAGCAGCTTGTTCTCCGGCTGCAGCTCCAGAGCGCGTGAGAGCACGCCGAGTGCCTCCACTCGCATATCTGCCACAGATTGGCTTCATTAGTTTGCGCCCTATCGAAGCGCTCAAATCAAATACCTACTGAGTTTCTTGAAAACCTTGAGCTGCATTTCATGAATCCGCCCCAGAGACACGCCCAGCAGCTTATCATGCAGAGTTGTAGGGCTGTAATTCGCAGCGGCTGCGGCCAGCCAATCGACTGCCTCGTGGTATTTCTGCTGCTCGTACAGCTCCCGGCCCATGTGGTAGCAGTCCAACGAGCTCAGCCTGTGCGCGTAAATTACAGGGTATTGCTTCAGTTAATGGAAATATAATAGTAAGAACAGGTCCCGTCGAAAGACTGGAAGACTAGAAGATAGTCTGAGCCCGAACATTCGAGCTTCGTTAGAAAATGCTAACAAGTCGAGAGCTGCCGACTAGGATATACCCTAGGCAATACCTAATAGCTATAGAATGAAAGATTCTTGATATATATATGCTATCTCAGAAAGTACAAGTGAAGTTTGGTAACTCTAGCTCTTCGAACTTACGAGATTTGCTCAAAAAAACCGGATTTCGATATCGATTATGATCGATTACTTGAAAACTGCACAAGTTATCGATTATTGGAAACAAAATCGTAATGCTCGGAGTATCTAGCTCTTATAGGTTCTGAGATCCTTGCGTTCATACCGGACTCACGGGCGGACGGACAGACAGACGGACGGAAGGACTGAGAGACATGACTAAATCGACTCTGCTCTAGGCCCTGCTGAAGCATCTATATAAACTCTATAAAATGGGAAATGTCTCCAACTGCCTTTTACCTATGTTACTTATGGTAAAAAAAATCTCACCTCAAGTGTTTGTTGTTCTCCAACAGAAAGTTTGCGGGTGCAAAGTTGTAGAACTTGAACAGGGACTGCAGGCTCTGTGCCGCCTGCTTGTGGGCATCACGTGTGGGCAACAGCGAGATCAGTCGCTGCTGCATCTCCAACTGGTCGCTGCCCGGCGGCTGCGTCATGTAGAGCTGCCAAGCTGGCCAGTGCTGGCGCATGTGGGTTATTATCCGGAAAGCAAAGAGGGGATTCGACATATACAAGTCGGGATGTCCATCGAGCTGCTGTATGTGCTCGCCGTACTCGGTAATCGCACTAATGCGAAATAAACTAGTTATGTCTGTCTGCATTTGTGTCAACTATTTACCCATTGATGTGGCGAAGTCTGTTCTCCAACTCGTGGGCATATATGCGCAAATTATGCAGTAGCTCGCGTTCCAGCTTCACAACCTTTTTGAGTTCGCTCACGGTGATATTTTCGCTTTGAGCCGAGGCAATCAGCAGCAGCAGCAGCAAGCACAGTATGCCAACCATCATGTGTGACTGTTAGCTGGCAAATGGATCCAGACACGCGCAGTTGGACTTCAGCTTGACTAATTCTCATATCAATGGGAATGCCATGCATAAACCAGATCCAATGCAATTAGGCTGGACCGGCGGAAGTTAAGGTGGCAGCTGTGCATCATGGTCAAGAAAAAGTAAGCTGATTTCTTACATTCCAATAAAATCCTAAACTCGATTCAAAAATTTGGCAGTTATATGCACAGTTTTAGCAGCTCTGCTCGGTACGTTTGAAACAGTTTTGTTGGCACTGTAAGATACCAGCAAGCAGTACACCTGCAATAAGCAGTGCGCTGCTTGGCCACTGCTTCCACTTGCAGTCGATATTTTTGAGCGCGAAAATCGATAGGCTATCGGTAAATTTGAAATGTTTATGCATATACTAGCCTTTTTTATACACTTGCTATATTTAATAATACTGACTACTTTTGGCCTATTTACTCTAAAGGTGTCAGCGAAGTGTGCATGCTATTTCGTCTCGCAACAGTGCGCCAGTGTCATCGTCCTCGTACTCTATTTCCCCATCAAACTCGTCCATCTGCTCGTGCAACATTTCTCTCTCATCGAGCGGCGTCCGACGCCTGCGACAAATATTGTGCAAGGCACAGCACACATTGACGACATTTGCTACAAACCTGGCATCATACATCAAGGCCCGCTGCATGCATCCAAATCGGCTCTTAAGCAGGTTAATGGTGCGTTGCACAACAGAACGCGCTGCCGCATGCCTCTCGTTGAAACGCTGCTCCACCGAATCCTGGTCAGCGTTTCTGTATGGTGTTAGAACATAGTTTTCCAGTGCATAGGCCGTGTCGGCCAAAACATAATGGCATTTGACGTTGCGCGACAAATATTCCCTGGCTTGGCTATTGCTCCAGATATAATGGTCACTGCACGAGCCAGGATGCGTACAGTCTATGGCCAGGATCTCCATGTTGTAGTTGCACACCAGCATTGCATTGATGCTGTAATAGTCCTTATCGTTAAAGTAGATTGTCTCATCTCGCACCGGCTTCAGGATTTTGATTTGCATTCCATCCACGCAAGCGACGACTCTGGGCAGCTGATAGTTCTCATAAAAGTAGTCGCGGGATTGTTTTATCTGCTGCTGGGACATGCGCAATGTAATCGCTTCCCGGCACAGCACCGCCTCCATTAGGGGAATCACATTGTGCAGTATTCTGCTAAATGTGCTCCTGCCAATGTTGACGGGACGATTCCTTGACACGGACAACTTGTAGGAGCCGGTGGCTAGGAAATGGAGTGTTGCGGCCAGTTGAAGCGCCGGCGTTAGGTAGGACAGTGTAAAGTCTGGTTGAATTTTGCGCAATATCCACTTAAACGTTTCCTTGTCCACTCGGAATAGTTTTATGAATCTGAAACTTTGAGTGTAAAGCAGAGAGGAAAGCCGTGTTGCATGCCACTCACCGCGCATCCGGCAGACTGAGCACACACGTGTTTGCTCTGGAGGTTTTATTTACTCTGCGCTGATGCACTATCTGTTGTTTTTTCGCCTCCAAACAAGCGATGGCAAAAGTAAATGTCATTTTTAGTGTTTCTTGTTTGGTTGCAAGTAAGCAAAACAAAATTAAAATTATTAGAGATGTGAGTTAGGCCTATCGATTAATACGCATTTCCAATGTTGCCACACTGAGTGGAAAGTGTTACCTGATCGACAAATTCAAATTTGTTGACATTCAAATGCGCATAGAAAAGCTTTTAACATAACAAAATCTAACAGCTAAGAAAAGCTCCGCATGAGTTAACATTATTAAGGGCCTTCCTTTAATTGAAGGCAATTGATTTAATGTCCAAAGCAGATTATGTTTAGCATTTATCTTATGTGCTCATAATAAAAATAAATATAATTAATATAATTAGGCCAATTGTAACAAAATAAACTTTATGAGTTATCAAGCTATCGGCCCATTTGGTAGCGATTAGTTTTGCCTATCGATAACAGCACAATAATATCCGGACTACCCTCGAAAAGTATCTCTTCGTATTAAACAGCACAGAGTGGAGAAGAGTTATATTCACAAATTAGATTAAACTCAGTGTTTGATTCACAAGCTAAAAAACAAGTAATTCGCAGTAAAGTTAGCTGACGGCTTCTCAGTTGCATTTGTGCGCTTACTTGCAACGGTTCAGTCAGCGTAAAATAAATGTGTATGCTTAAAGAGTGCAACAAATTGTGTTAAAGCGATCAATAATTCTACAGGGCGGACGCAACGCGCTCTTAGTGTGGTATATGTGTTTACAATAAATAATTATTAACGTTTTTGACAGCAAGAAGACCACTGGCAACGACATGCTCCTACAGAGAAACAAGTAAAAAGCGGCATATGGTTTCTTTCGTTTTTGCTCATTTTTGTGTTACCCGCATAATTTAATTAGTGTCTCGCTTGCGCTGTGTGTACATTTTCTGTTTGTGACGATCCCCATCCACATACTGGCACTCCCCCACCTCATTTTGGCTTGTCTAGACTCTGGTTTTATTTGCGTGTTAGTTTTATCTGTTCACATATGTTTGTATGTATGTATGTTTGTATGTAATTCAGTTGCTGCTTACTTTATTTGTTCAATTTGCTTTATTTTTGGATTTTGTTTTGTTCATCAAATTCTATCGGCGTTGCCAATGCAAGTCAGGCAGCCAGCTGTTGACTTTTGGTTTGGTTGCATGACAACAAAATAACACGACCAAGCCAAGCATTTCATCAAAATCCCTGTACATTTTATGTGCGCATTGCAGACGTCATTTTTTTTTTCGGCAGTTCGGAATTTTGTAATTGTTATCAATTTGGTTGGCATTGTCGGCGACCGACGAGACAGTCCGGCAACGCTGCCGCTCATCGCTCGCACGACCGCTCTCGAAGGTTGTCTTTGCTCTTGCGCTCCATTTATTTATTCTATTCGCTTTTATTTATACAAAACGATAAAGTGTCTTTTATTGATTTCGAGCCCTCGAGCGTGCACGCAACAAACGTCGGATTTGTTAATTGAAAGCGTTAATCAATCAACGCTTTAGTGTCAGTGGCTCATTGCGTTCTGTTTCGTTGTGTTATCACAAATTTCGCGCGTGTTTTCGTTAAAAAATTTGAGCGCTTTTCTTAACAGGTATCTTGTTTATAATAATACCGTGTACTTGCTATGTACATGTCTAAATGCACTGCGATAAGATAAACGCCAACCAGCTGGAATTAACAGGGTGCTTAATTACATGCCACACACAGCCCACGCACACACGCACTCACGTGCATTTCGTTTGGGTTGAAATGTCAAGAGATTGCGACACTTCAAAATGAGGCGCCATTAAAAAGAAACTCATTATATCAACACATACTCAGTGTGTGTGTGTGTGTGTGCGGTTTGTTGCCTTTGTGTGTGTCAGTTAACTGCGATTTGTAAATATTTGCCGCAATAGACTCGCATTTCACTTGGAGACGCCAATTTGGCGCATGGGCTCATGAGCTGTTGCTGCTGCTGCTGCTGTTGATTGTGCGCGCGCGGGGCAGGCGGAGCTCTGCCACTGGCTGGCATCAGGCCAACAAAGCGGATGCGCAACAATAGACCGCAATTGCCATACAACACAGCAAGCGCAAACATATTTGAGTACAGTAAAAGCTGCCTTAAACGGACATTGCATTGCGCAGCAAAAAGGATAATTAATCGAACCAAAATTGGCACTTTTTCAGACCTCAATAGATATTCTTTAAAAGTTGCCTTTTTGTTAATCATGCATGCATATATTTATGTTATTTCTTAGACCTTATATGCCAATTAAGGCAGTTTTCACTGTGGCCACCTGTACCTGTGATAAGCCAGAGCCTTCAGTCAATGTGAACGCCAACTTGTTGCGGCCGCGTGAGCGAAACAAAAGCTGTCGATTAGATAGACATAATTGTTTATTTAGGGAAACACAGCTGGAAAAAAGCGTTAAGCATATAAAATCAATTAGAGTCACAGTTCAACTTCAACCTAGCGCCGATCGTCGGCATCAAAGCTGCTCGCCTTCAGTTTTAGGCTGCCGCGGGTCAGCTGATTCAGATCGATAATGGACAGGTACGGCTTGGGCGGCACACTGACGCCCAACGTGGGCGCGCCCAGCTCTATGGTGAGAGGGCCAGCGGCGGCGGCTCGCTTGCGGCGACTGCACGCGCCCGGTTCGCTCAAGCCAAGAGAATACTGATCGTGGTGGGCACAGCTGGCGGTTACAGCGCGCCGGTGATTGCGATAGCCGCTGAAGCAGCTGCTGCCGGGCGCAATGGGTATGGGGGGTCGCGTGGGTGAGAAGCCGCCCTCGTCAGAGGAGACGCCACCGCCGCCGGCTGAGTCATAGCAAATGCTTAGATTAGTGTACGCAATGGGCGCATGACAGCGTGTCGTCTTTGGCCTCGGCTTCACCTCGTAGCGTGTCCTGGAACGGGAGCGCGAATGATGCGTACGCGGTCTGCCGCGTCGCTTGCCCTGCAGACGCATCTCCGACACCAGCGGCACGGCCAGCACATTGATGAAGCGATAGTATTGCAGCAGAGTGCGTGCCACATTGCGTCCAACGCGATGATCTGCATGTTAAAGAGAGAGAGAGAATTAGCACAGTTGGAGCAAACTTGCAAATACATACATCCATCCTCGTTGTAGAGCGCAATGGTCTTGCCGTCGCGCAGATAGTGACCCGCCATGGACACCTCCAGGGTGTACGCATTCACCGTGTCGCTGAGACGCTCGCAGCAGTAGCGCCTAACGCTGCCCGCCTTGCGTTCATCCGCATTGAACATGGTATGCTCGGCGATATAATCCTTGGCATTGCTGGCAAAGAGCCGTGGGAATACCAGATGCCGCTCATAGCGATAGACATCCTCGTATGTGTTGCCATAGATGAAGCAGCCCTGCATGCTGCTGTTCGCGTGCAGATCGATCACAAAGTCAATCTGATATGTCTGTGTTGGCCAGGAGGAAGAACAAGTAAAAGATGTTGCATTCAACCCAATACCAAATGTCATCGACTCACATCCGAATTATCCAACTCTTTTAGCATATTTCTGATGGCGTGCAACTCCGGCTGCGTATACTCGGACGCCACATGCCAATTGCGATTCATATCCTGGCCCATCAGATTGCAGCGATTGTTGCCCAGGAAGACACCATCCGGATTGACCATTGGCACAATTTTAAATACGAAATGCTCGCGCAGCACTTGCGCAATGGGATGATTGCCCACCAGAAATTCGATGAAGCCCTGGCAAACATGAGAAGCAGGCGCCTCGCTCGAGTGCGTTCTACAGAGTATGACAATAACGCGTATGAAGCTACGCTCCAGGCGATTCGTCGGACGCTGGCTGTGCGTCACCTGATCCACTGTCAGCAGATCCACATTGCGATTTTGCTGTAAAAAAAAAAACAACAGGCATTAAATATGAGCACGGATGCTGAGCAGCAGAGACAGACACACCAGAGATTTGACCAGAACGGAGCGCGTGAAACGCTTTTCGGGTCCCTGGCGTGCCTCGATCACATTCAAATAGGACTGCAAGCGGGAGTAGCTGTACGGCAGGGCCAGGGCGAACATATACACATCCTCCTCCTTGTCAAAGTTAAAGCCAAAACTGAGCACATAGTGACCCTGATGCATGGCCGAGCGATAGAAGAAGACGTGGCGTTTGGGCAAACGCTGCCATTTGGGCCGGCTGGAGGACTTCACAAGTGGCGTGAGGCCGCAGTTAAACAGATTGCGGCTCTTGCTGATGTTCACAATGTTGAACAGCACACGCTGATCCTGTTTCACATTATCGACGGTAAAATTAAACCAAAAGCGATAGCGCGGATTGCAAGTGTCTGGACGCAGAAACAAATCGTACTCGAACTCGCCCACCAGCTCCGCCTTGCCCAGATTTCCAGTCTCAAAGGCCGCATCGAAACACAAATGTCCGCGCTTAGCCTTGCCGCTCTGTCCGGGCGGACGTATGATCACGCGCGACACATTGCCCAAACCACCCTCACCGTCGCTGTCCTCGCTATCTGAAATGGCAGTGTTTAAAGGATTAGAATTTGGCAGATGAGTAGATGGGCATAGTTAAGCTGTGGGCGAAGATCTAAAGCAAATACCATCCGAGCCGCGCTCATACATGCTCGTATGCTGCAACGGATCACAAGCTATGCCCAGCATTTTGGCCAATCTCCGGTATGGCGCAAGTGCTGCTAACTTCTAAGACTCTTCTAATGCAACTGGCGACTGGTAATCCGGCAGCCATGATGTCAGAAGTGCTTTCACAACACCTTACCGTATCGCAAAAGGTTAATCCTGCCGCGCTGCTATCTTTAAGCTCGACAGGTGGAAGAGAAGAAGGAGGAGCAGCACACATATGCGTGTCTTGGTTATCGCGCTGTTTGCAACTTTTTAGCTGCAACTGCCACGGAACTGCCGCCTCAAACGTCAACGTATGAAATTGAATAGTCGCGGTTGCGTTGCTTGCAACCCAAATGGGCGGCACTGCCGTGATTTATCAAGGAGCAGCGGCCAGCTCAAGAAATCTGCCACACTCACCTGAGTCACCCATGCCGCGTGCAACTTGATTGGATTACAGATGGCAAGGCGTATTCCTTGTTGAGCGCATTGAATCGCTTCGCTGGCCAATTTATAAATAGAAATTCAATTAACGTAACACATTTGCCGCCCACTTTTTGGATTTATGTCTTCGGCCTTTCACTTTTCTTTGACGGCACTCGATTCGCGTGCGATGTCTTGGCTACAACTCTTATAGATTCCAATCAGCGTAGACTATGCGTCGCCCTATTGCCCAGGTCTAAACTGGCCGTTTGGGCTGAGTTGGGCTGAATGAGTATGGCACACACACAGCCCGATTGCTGCCGCTGGCCTGTCTAATGCATTGCTTGGCACTTTTCACGTTGCCATACACTTACACACACACACAGCTGAACACTCACCTGGCACTGGCTCACATGTGCTCCTGTGTTTGATCGATATAAACGCGCGCAGTTGGCATTGCGGTTTTGGCCAGGATTCACACAGTTAAATTTGCGTCACGGCAGTCTTTAACTTTTTGGCAGCGCAAACTTCGCGTAACTCGCATTAAAAAGAGGCAGAAAGAAAATACTGGGCAACGGCGTTGTCAAAGTTGAAGACCTAATTGCCCTGCCGCTTGTTGCAGCAGACACACACACATAAATAACACCCAGACACAACTAGACGGAAACTAGTTCACGGGGCTAATCGATAAATAAACTAAAAAATCGTGTAGGGAGCCAGACACAGGGCGTACGCGTGTTTAACTTATGACAGCCACTGTCGCACTGTTGGCGTGTCGTATAACATAGTATATTTGGAGTCCATAGCATGTCCAAGCGCAGGTAGCTTTTAATGTAACCCACCGCCCACCGTTCATTATTATTATATTTTATTTTTGTGCCTGTTTTGTTGTGTCCACTTTCTTACCACTAGATTTTATGCCTTATCCTTTATGAATGTATCTTGCAGATTAGGCAGCGTACGCCCACCGAAGCGTTGCAGAAGCGACATGGACAATATCTCGACCTCGGACATTGTCATCATCAATGGCAACTCGCATCCGGATCTGGCCAATTCGGTGGCCGAGCGCATGGGTATCAAGAACGGCGGCTGCTCGGTGTTTCACAAATCGAATCGGGAGACCATCGTTGAGATAAGCGACTCGGTGCGCGGCAAGGATATTTACATTATACAAACAGGCACCAAGTGAGTGTGGAAGTATCTATAAAAACTGTCGAGCATAATTAAATCTTAATATTGTTCCCAACAGAGATGCCAACAACAATATCATGGAGCTGCTCATTATGGCCTATGCCTGCAAAACTTCCTCGGCTCGCTCTATTGTCGGTGTCATACCCTATTTGCCGTACTCGAAACAGTGCAAGATGCGTAAACGCGGTTGCATTGTGTCCAAGCTGCTGGCCAAAATGATGTGCACCTCAGGACTCACGCACATCATAACCATGGATCTGCATCAGAAGGAAATACAAGGCTTCTTCGATATACCGGTTGATAATTTGCGCGCCTCGCCCTTTTTGCTGCAGTATATACAGGAGAGCGTGAGTGGGAGGCAATAGACTCTTTATATACATCTATCTAACTGATTGGTTTTGACTACACTTTAGATACCCGACTACCGCAACTCGGTGATTGTGGCACGCAATCCGGGGGTTGCCAAAAAGGCTAATTCGTATGCGGAACGGTTGCGCCTCGGCCTGGCTGTCATACACGGCGAACAGAAGGAGGCTGAGAGCGATGAAGTCGACGGCAGATACTCGCCACCGCCCACCAGGTGAGTCTCCAAGCTAACCAAGCCCTTTACTCTGCCCCTCCAGCCAGTTCGTTTTTGTTATTTATGTATTTTATTTGGCTCTTGATCTCCTTGTTATGACTGAAACTCAAGCGTAAATCATTTTTTGTATATGTTTTTTGCAAAATACATAATAAAAATGTTATGCGAAAAATGTGCAGCTGTATATGATTCGCTCCATTATTCCCACCAAGCATTGTGTTTATGCTGAGTAGCTAGCTCTTTGTTTATACTTGACTGTAGCTCTAAGGCGCGTTTGAATATGTTTGTTGTCTTTAGCTAGAAGTTTCGAGATTAAGCTGTGATTTCACTTTATACTTCCAAAATACAGCAGCTGTCCCTGCTTTCGGCTCTTGACATATTGTACTTGCAATCAACAACAGTTCACACATTTGCACACATACATATGGGCATTTCCAGCAGCAGCTCCTACGTGATCAAAATCGAAAAAATGTTTCTCTTAATTGCTGTCAACAAAGTTTATTGGAACAATATTCCCAAAAGCTTTTATGTCAAAGTACTGGCAGCTTATCGAGTTTTGCAATAGAACAACAAAATCCAAATAGAAACCCGACAAGTTACCATGTAGTTAAATATCAATAAACCTCTGTTTTAAATAGTTTGTCTCCCAGCCCAGGCACAAGCGTTCTTTATGAATTGAATTTGTTTACTCGAGGAGTCCCAGGCAGAAATGGCCGTCGCGATCAACTGGCACTCCTTATTTCTATGCTTAACATGTTCTTTGCTAGAAACATTTTGTTAACAGCGTTTTACAATTAACAAATTGTCGTTTAGGTGTCATTCAAAAAGCAAGAAAGTTTATTATAAATGGTATTGAAAACTTACGACAATCATGTGCGTCGCACTGGAATTGCCCAAAAACACTTTGTTAAATAAACAATTTTTGCCATTCATTTAATTAAGATTCCATTGACATTGATATCAAAGCACGAACCATGCCATGTGTAGATCAAGCTTACCGCACTCTCTTCAACTCGCCTTGAACTTTTGTAATTGTTGTCCATTTGTACTTCACCGACAACAGATGCATTGAGGCAATTACCTTTAGCTATAGCTTTCGTTATGTTGTATCTTTTTGACCGAATCGGCTGTAATTGCTTTTACGCATGTTGGCAATTTAATTGCCGTATATGCAAATTCCGGTGCGTTTAGCATTGAGCGACAACGAAAACGATATCATTCTCTTTATTTATGCAGGGCGTATTGCAATATATTAGGAAATTCTGTTGAAATGTGCATACCATCGGCGTCTAGGTTTGTATTTTAAATACAAATATGTAACACTGTTAATTTGTTTAGTTTATACTGAAACGCGAATTGTATATGTACTGTCATTTTTCTTTTTTGGTTTCAATATCGACAACTACGACAACGCACTACCACATCCACAACAACAACAACAACAACAATTGCTACTACAACAACAATTGCTACTACAACAACGCACCACACCACAAAACATCTGCACACGCCATCCACACACAACTACTCTGCACAATAAAATGCCAAAAAAAATGTCAAATGTGCCACACTATTAACCAGAAACTCTACTCCACAACATGCACCCAGTAGTAGCCGCCAGCGCACCACCTCCGTATCGGTGGGTGTGCCGGAGCATCCGGTCAAAGTCAAGCCGCCGCTCACAATTGTGGGCGATGTGAATGGACGCATTGCCATTATGGTGGTATGTATTAGCGCTAAAGACTAACTATATAGGTATCTGACTTTTTATACTCTGCAGGACGATCTGATCGATGATGTGCAAGCGTTTGTGGCCGCCGCCGAAATGCTAAAGGATAATGGTGCCTGCAAAATATACGTACTGGCCACGCACGGTCTGCTCAGCTCAGATGCGCCCCGTCTGCTCGAGGAGTCGGTCATAGATGAGGTGTGTATCTAAAGTTTAATGCTGTTGAATTAACAAACTAATAACTTACTTTTGTATCACGCAGATTGTTGTCACCAATACCATTCCACATGAGGTACAGAAGTTGCAATGCAACAAGATAAAGACTATTGATATATCGATACTGATCGCTGAGGCCATACGCCGCATACACAACAAGGAGTCAATGTCGTATCTGTTTCGTAATGTAACGCTAGAGGATTGAGAATGCGTCTGCTCGCACCTTCATGCCCACTCATCCACACACACATCACTCATGTACTGTGTCACAAATGGTCACTAGCCAGTGTAGTAGCTTCATGGAAGTTGCATCTTCTTTATATTGTTTGTTTACCACGCCCTACCCCGCTTTAATTTTATTAAATAGAAACTATTATAAACCGTGCTCCAGGTGCGGCTGCTCAAATAAAACGAAATATGCTTTAAAATTGGCGAACTCTTATATATTGTAATTGATATGCAAATAAAATTGTAATTTTAATTTATAAACTCTTTTTACTTTTCGTTGCATACTTTTTGGCCGAGACACAAAACATAGCATGGTCCAACGTAAAGTTTTCGTACATATGTGAATGAGTAAGCCCTATAACATTTTAACACCATCTTAACTTATTTGAAATACAAACAGAACCAATTTTATATGTGTGCTAACTGATAAGGTAAACAGCTCACAAGCTGTGCAAGTTGCCAGCCAGGTACTTGGACAGCCTATAAAATGCAAATACAAATACAAACAGAGCTAATCAACATTTTGCATAGCTAAAGTTTAACAATAAATGGCCATTGTTAGCTTGGCCAGTTAGCCAAAAGTCAATTAAGTCCGTTTTGGCGGAAATGCGACACTTATTCCCATTAATTGTTAACATTTATTGGCAATGCCTAATCGCAGCCAATCGCATTTTTTTTATTTAAATTTATAATTATCATAAAAAGTTTAATTGGTAGACAATTTAATTGTAGCCATAAATTGTTAAGTCGCATAATTTTGTGTTCATTATGAGCAATTAGGTTTTTTTCTGGCCACATTTATACAACAAACTTTAAAAAAAAAATGAATAATAAATTTTAATTGAGTGGGCAAATGCGGCATAAATCAGTTTGTCAAATAATTTTGCAACTTTTGTAAACTGTGTTTAGTTCCATCTAGTTTTTTTTTTTTTTTCTCCTTCTAAGTATTTGTTATCTATTGTATAAGCAAATTTGACATTTGGCAAACACAATAAAGTATTACAGCGGCCGACAGATGTGCTTCATAAAAGATATTTGAGCAAATATTTGGGCGCGTGTTTTTGAAGTGCGTTACGGAAATGAGAACAGCCTGATAAGATTACAGACTATCAACAATGCAATTTCGAGGCATGCAATTCCCGTTATGATTAAACTCATGACGTGATCTCGACAAGTGTCTGTTGTGACTGTGTGTGTATGTGTGTGTTAATTAAAATTACAAATATTGTGATTGTACACGCCTCATAAATTAAACATGATTCCAACTAAGGGCTGCGCTTAGTTGTTCGCCAACTTGCACAGCAAGAGACGCATATAAATATTTGCAGCAAACAGAACGAGTGTTAAATATGCTAAGAAAATGCAAAAAATATATAAATCTACATAGTGCCTTGTGATGTTACAAAAACAAAAAAAATGCAGCAAACAACCTCAACTGATTACGTATCTCAACAATGTCTGGGCGGTGTGGCAATAAAATGGGCATCGTGCAAAAACAATATGGCAGAAATATTGTGACTTAAGATTTACAGCTTCACTTGGGTTTTTCTCTGCTCGAAAGTCACAACGCATTTAAAAAAGATCGCATATACATATCATTTAATTTTTTTTCTTAGAATTGTCTTACTCTTGCTGGTATTTTACCCAATCGAAGTTTCTATATCAAAATAACTATTAATCATATTAAAAAAGCTATCTTTAAATTTTAATTTGTCTTATTGTGAGCTCAGTATTAAAAACTTTTTTATTTTAGAGTTTAAAAAGCACAGCTATAGACAATTTAATATATATATAGTCGGATCTAAGTCAAAATTTACTGGAATATATTAATAAGATCATATACAACATTTCATAGAACATATTCTAGTCAATAATTTCAGATGCTTTTCAACTTTCAGCTTTGTCGTGTTTAAAATGGAAAAAAATGTGGCAAATCATGATTCAAGCCAAAGCCTGGGAATTTATCTGGTTCAGAGAAAAAAGCTCAAAGCAAAATTTGAATCGAACAATTTATTTTTTTTTCTGGATTCTGCAGTCATGTCTACTAAATCATAGTGCATAGTGCTTGTTAGCCCAACAGGAAGTCAGTTGAGTTTGGCGCCTCTAAGGTCAAGCTATAAAAATAAAATACGCTTAAAAAGAGTTGCAAAATGAAATTGTTATTTACTTGCGCTAACACTGTCACTTGTGTAGATGTTTACATGCTTAGTGGCAGATCTTAGTGAAATCTAATATATCTTAGCGCATGTTTGTTTAGCAGGAGGTCAGGCGATAAGCTAACCAACTATTTGCTCTACAAAATGCCAAAACAAAGTTACCAAAAACTCAGGCAGAACCTTCAGCAATGCGTCAGTTGATGCTACAAATTATCTGGCCAGATTCTAACGATATAAAAGCTGCGCGTTTATTTATTTATTTGCACAGCAGATGCTAAAAGCAATTTAGGATACACACACACACACACACACACACACCGAGTTTTAGGCCTGTGGGCATACAAGTGTTTATGCCAGCGTGGTGTTAAGGGCTTAGAGACAATTGAAATTAACTTGACTACAGACCACTTGAGAATGCAAATTTGTGTACATTTGGCAGCACCTTGTGTCATTTAACAATTGTAAATGTGCTGCATAAATTTCATAGTTTAACCAGAGCTATTGTGCTGTCGCGTCTCACGTGAAGCGGCTCAACGTCACGCAATCAACTCAACTCAAGTCAAGTGAAAAGAAAAATATGGCTAAAGCGCTGTTGGCCACGTTGCGCATACGCCCCGTCGCCCAGTTGACGCAGTGGCGTGCATTGAACCCCGCTTTGGATATTTCAATGTAATTTCCGTAAACTGCATAGTGTTTAGCATATTGATTAGCTGGCCCATCAAAGTTAATAGCCCAAATGTCAGAGCTGTACGTACTATTTGTTATAGCAAATATGCCAGTGTCTAAATATCAGAATATTTTTATTGTTTTTTTTTTTTTTTTTATCAGTGGCCCATTAATGGCTCAAAGCAATGTTGTCAGCTGTCGCTTGTTTTCATATTGTTAGTTTTTTCCACTATCATTCAAAATTGATTTGTTGCTAATTCATGTTGCTTGTTGGCAATTCATTAGCACGATATTTGTGTGCTCATAAATTGGCTGAATGAGCGCGGCTTAGCGCCATTTAGCACTCGGGCTGTTCAAAGCGAACGCGGCTGGCATTAAAACTAGCCAAGTGGTCTAATCCGATTTGGCTAATTTTATCAGGAAATTACGTTAATATAATAAACAAAATTATTTTTAACAATTTGTGATCGCAACAAAAGGCAATACACATTTAATTTTCATGACGTTCTTTTTGGGTACATTTATTTTTATATTTTCATTTTTATTTTTTTGGTTCGGCCGAAATGAGTCCTACATATGATTCAACCAAACATTTAGGGGTATTCAGTGTTTAAGATAATTAAAAACACATTTTTGAATTTATTTAATTATACCACAAAAATGTTTGATAATTTGCCATTTCTTATAGAATCAGTTAACCAAATAAATGCAAAACAACATAATAAACAAAATGAATTTAACTTATTTGCAAGCACAGCAAGAAACAAAACGCATTTAGGTTTCATTACGTTTTTAATTGTCGCTTTTTATTGGCTCTGATAACTTTTTTTTATGGTTGGGGCAAAATGAGGTTTACATTAGATCCAAACAAACAAACAAACAAATAGGGGTGTTCAGTGCTTAAGAAAGTGCAAAGCTGACAAAGCACAAAGAACTCGCATCGGTTCAATGAACTCTAATCTTGACCTGTTGTCGCACTGCAAGTCAGAAAACTTGTTGAGAAAACCTTCCATTCGGCAAATGTTGCATTCATTTCTCAATGAGACTGACTACCCAAAATGCGCCATGGTACAAATATACTCGGGTATCCAGTTTTTGCTCTTCTCAACTGTCGGCAATTGGATTCAGTCATGTGATCGAATCAATTTAGCAACATTTGCGGCCAGGCGGGGATGCACAGTGATACAAAGATTGTAAACAACGTGCAGCTGATGATTATGAATGCTCGTTAAGGCCAGACAGTGTTTGGGCCAAGATTTCGGCGCTTTGCTGACGCATTCGTTTAAATAAAAATAATAATAAACATCTACAAAAATCAAATGTTTAAAGCTGAGCATTTGCCATTAGTTAAAGGCAGCCGACGAAAGCAACCGGAACAGCTACCGCATTTGGTTAATAATTCGTATTTATTATTATCGCTGCCATTGAACTTGGTCCAAGCTGTAGACCCTGACACGCATTTCGGGCCTTAAATAATGTAAGGTGTCACTGTGTTGTGTGTGATTTCCTCAAAGCCTACGCTGCGCCGGCGAATTGCATAACACGATCATCGATATTGCATTGAGATACGTATTTAAGCCGAGTTAAATATGTTTATCCGATATTGTTATAGACAGCCGGTGAGTCACGTGAAGCCTCGCGACAACTAATTTACATGCCTCAATGCATTCCACTGCACTCGAGCGAATGCTTGCTCCGATTGCATAACCCGCAATCTGTGGGCCTAGTTGATGCCATTGTGATAGTCGTTGCTGCTGCTGCTGCTGCTACTGCTGCTATTTATGCATGTTGATATTGTTCAAATTAATCGCCAGCACAATTAACAGTTTTATTTGACTCGCTAACTTAGTCGTGCTCATGATTGCGATTATAATGATCAGCTGACTTGGCGCTCTGTTGGCACAATTGTTTGTGTTTACTGGAGTTACAGTTACTTTTGTTTGGCGTTACGTGTACCCCATAAAAAATGAGCAAATATGCAGCTGAAATGCATACAAATTGCCTACCAGCCCAGCCCAGACCAGCCCAGCTCCCATCGATGGGCCTTGTGATGACAGTTTCTTATCTGTGGCATGCCGCATCAAATCGCCCGTGTGCCACTAACATATCCAAGGGTCCTAATTTGGGCTTTATGATCTTTAACGTCGGCACTATAAAAGCATATTTTCGGGCTATATATATATATATTTTTGGCCCGTTGATGTTTTGATTAATCTGCTAATTGCTGTGAGAAATTTCTGGACAGCTTTCAATTTCGAGCTGCGACTTTGACGCTGGGCTTGAGAAAAATAATTAGCAGCACGCCAACGAAATTGCAATTAAATATATTTTATTGCAAATTGTTTTTAGTGATTCGCAGTTAGATATGCACATTTAATTGTTATTCAATATTTAATTTGCGCCTCTCACTCACTTAGTCCGCGGCACGGCC